GAGCACTAGTCCTTTTCTATACTGAGAGCTCTCCCAGCATCAGCCAGCTGGGGAACAAAATGTAAAAGGGGCTGCATCCAGAAGTCTCCATCTCTGTATGATCATCTCAGGGAGGGCTTCTCAGATGGGGGGAGGGATAGTTCAGTGGTTTGAGCATTGGCCTGCTAAACCTAGGGTTGTGAGTTCAATCCTTGAGGGGGCCACTTAGGGATCTGGGGCAAAATCAGTACTTGGTCCTGCTAGTGAAGGCAGTGGGCTGGACTCAATGACCTTTCAAGGTCCCTTCCAGTTCTAAGGGATAGGATATGTCTGTGATCATCAGCAAGACTTGTTCACAGTGAATGTGAGAACTTAATAGTGAGATTGCCTCATGGACACCTCTGCTTGCATTGACCATCGCACAGACAGCCTCCCCTCTCATTCCAAGTGATGTAAACTAACTCCTGCTGGTAGCGATTCACATGACATGCCTATGTTAACTACAGCAGTGGCCTACAGGGATAACTTACATTAGGATGCTCTTTAATGTATCTTTAACTATCTGAATGCAATTTAGCAGCTGGAAACAACAAGAAAAGCCAGCACCATGTGACCAACCAGCTCTCATGGACCATCTGCTCCACAAACCAGTGAACTAAGGAGAGCAACTGGTCCACATAGACCAAAGATTTTAACAAAACAAGATCCTAATCCTACTGTCACTGAATCAATGTGAGCTTTGCAAACGATTTCAACAGGAACAGGATTAAGATGTCGTTGCGGTACTGCATGGGAAGAGGTAGGGTGAGGTGCAATGCAGGAGCAGATGTTTCCTTGTCTACAGTAGTCCCAGGAATGTCTTTTTTTAAAACCCATCTAAGTGCGGGACTGACTTGGGGCAGGTCTATCTCGCTAGCTGTAGCCATGCTGGGGCATCCTTCCAGCCCCAGATTTGTGCTAACTCCCCTAGAATCAGCATCTGTGTGTGTTTCACTGAAGGCACCACTTTCTACCGTAGGGACAGCTGTATGAAGAACTGATTTTCCGGTTGGGTGGTCGAACCGAAGAATCAAAAACAAATATATTCCTTTTGAATTGATCTGAAACAAAAAAGTCTTGCAATATCTCCGGAGAAACAAAAAAGTAGAAAATATTTCATTCAGCCTGAGACAAAACACATTTCATTTAATTTGTGGTTTAAACCCTTTAATTTTATTTAATAAAAATGAGTAAAATTCCCAAACGAAACATTTTGACTTTTCTGATTTTTTTTTTTTAATTTGACCGAAACAATGTGCTGAAACTGACCTAAATTCACAAATTGTTCCACTTGGCCTGAATCTACATTTTCCTGTGAACATTTTTTGCCCAGTTCTAATTGTAGATACTTATCTGGTCTCCCCCTCACCGTAGTATCTGAGCACCTTCCAATCTTTAACCTGTAAGGAGGGCAGTGCTATTAGCCCCATTTTACAGATGGGGATTGGAGGCACAGAAAGGCTAAGTGACTTGCTCAAAGTGACACAGGACATCTGTGGCAGAGCAACAATTTGTAACTGTATAGCAGGAGGGCATTTTTAAGCTTTTGTGGCAGGTTGACCCTTCTCCTGGACTTTTTGTTTTGAAGACTCTCCACTTAATTTGCTTTACACTGTTCAATTCAAGGGATTTTTTTCCACCTCTGCAATTTCATTTCACTAATGGAGTTTTTACAATAGAATCATTGCAGCTACGCCATTTTATTTATTTGTTGGTTAGGTCAAAGCTCAAAGTCACAAACCTGACAGAACTTTTGACTGATGAGACCTGTGAATATTTCCAATATTATCAGGAATAAACTTTTGATCCTAACAATAACAGTGTGTCTCATCATCCATAGAGGCTTCTACAATGCATTCTGGTTAACAATTCATGCAGTACTGTTAAGGACCCAAGTCCCCAATTTGAGAGTAAGCCTTTGCTGAAGAGAAGTAATTCTGCCTTTGAGACGTTCAGCTGGAAGAAGTTGAGACAAGGCCATCAGCCAAGAGAAGGTAAGGCAAGGAGGACTCACTAAGGTCTAGACTGTCACTGCCTTTACTTGGTCATACAGATTAGTAAGGGGTAAGAACTTCCTACAGTCTCGTACAGTTAGCTCTGCTCAGCCTGTTACTCGGGCTGTGGGGAAGACAGACTCTATTGATATTCTGCACTTTGAGCAATTGGGTGGGGAGGGAATGCAGGCTGAGCGGAGCCCTCATTCGCTGTCCAGAATAGCTGCAGGAGCACACAGGACAGTGTACGCCACTTCACAGAAAAGTGTGACTGACTCGCTCCCTTCCCTGGCGCGGAAGGCCGGTGAAGACACCCGACACAGAATTGCAACTGAGTCCCAGTTTACTGTCTGGTTTGGGGCAGACCTGCTTCACACTGCCCCTCACTCAGGGCAGACTGTAAAGTTACAATCTAGCCCTCAATGCGCAGCTGCAAATGTGCTACGTATACCAAGGCTTGTGGGTTAGAGCAGGTCACAACGTTTGACATACTGAAAAAAAAAATCTTTTTCAGGGCTGGAATAAGATTTTTGCTATATTAAGCCCATTTTTAAGGTCAAAGTTTGGACCCAGCATGACAACGTGCATGTTAAAGTTCCACTGCCGAAAAGTGGCTCTTTATACTGCAACTGCTGACAACAGTTCCAGGTTTCATCAAAGCGATCTTAGTCAGCTAAACCACACAGTGGCCTTCGCAAATGCTCACACTGAGAAAAGGGGAAATGATGATTTGGTGTGTCCAATAAAAGCTACACCTCACTTCTGAAAGGGACTGTTTTTCATTTATATTAAGTCAGCACCAAGAGCTGAATGTGTGTTTGGACTGTAGGTGAGGAAATTCCAGCCGGTAAGAACATACTGTTTGTCAGATAATCTAGAATACTGCTACGACTGTATTTTAAGGCATACGCACAAAATGACAAAGTTATGACTGAGCTTTCAGCTAGAGTAGGGCAAATACTCGTCCCGCCTTTCCGGGGGTCGGGTCGGGGAGTCCTTGAAGGTCACTTGAATTTTGAACTGAATTTGCTTCATCTCTTTTGTGTTCACCTCCACAAATATTAGTGAGATCGAGTTTGACTGCCACAAATGTGCCTGGATAATAAATTTCATGGGCTGCACGAATGATTACATGGAAAAACACCCATCGAATTAAACACACTTTGGATCAGGCTCCCAGACAGGGAGCAGCTCTCTGACCAACCAACATTGTACCTCCAGACTTTTGACTGCTTGATTTCTCAACCGTGATGTTACATTAGCATCAGTATTTTGCATGGAATAAACTATGAATTGAAGAAACCCTTTGGAATCTACAGGAAACTTTGCCAACAAACTCTTATTAAGAGAATGGGTGTTCACTTATCTCAATCTCTGGTTAAGGATGTACGGTCTGATCATGCAAAGTACTATATGCCCTCAACTTCCAGTGCCTGTTGTGCTCAACACAGGATCGGGCCCTTAGACAATAGTACATAGGCTCACTTTTCTCCAACAGGGCACACAAACTCAGATGCTATGGTGAGGCTGCATAAGTACACAGATAGATACATAGGCAGAAGTTCTGTTTAAAAGCTAATCTGGAGCAATCCCCTTCCTGTCCCTGATTTACTCCGTTAGCCTGGTCATCTATTGGCAGGAGGAATGTGTCCGCCAGAGAAGCACTCATTGCCCCATTTGAGGGCAGAATAAAGGCAGCTACTGAACCTGCTCCCCCGGTGCCTATTCCATTCCGGATGTGTTTGCCTTGCTCAGGTACAATGCTTCAGGACAGCTCTGCTCAGCTGTCACAGCTCCACACTCACTGCACCTCAACAACAAGAAGATATAGGTTTGCCTTAGGGGAATGAGCATCCCTTGTGCAGCACATGGTGCCTTCTCCAAAGGGTCTCCCTGCACAGCAGTTCACAGCGGCAGCTGGGCGTGACGCAGGAGCATGCTGGAGAAAGGACTGAAAGATCCACTGTTGTGCATGCCCTCTGTTCCCCCCACCTGCATTAATTCAGCCATTGGGATAATGTCGTGGACTCCACAAAGCAGTTCTGCAGCAGGGGGTGTGGTTGAGCATGCTGTCCCCTCCTCCTCACCTGCCCAGCCCAGTGACTCCTGCCACTGGGCAATGAGGATGTAGGGACCTTGCTGTACAGTAGGTTCCCAAGGTTGAAAATCTGACTCACGTTAGAGACAGAGAGATCATTAAACACAGGAACATCATTTAACAGGTAGGAGAAGAGAGAACAGTACATCTTGTTCACAGAGCATCACTCTGAAAGTTCTGATGCTGATGATTATAAATGTCTCTTGCTGGTACTCAGGCCTTGTTCTAGAGAGGCGGTGGGGGAAGAGGATGTGTTAAGAAAGTGGCTGGTCTGGTAGATTCAATGGGCCAGACCCTTCCTTCTGGTTGAGCTGTGCTTGATAGGGGCCTTTTCCTCACTTTTATGACTCTTGAGCCTGGGATCAGCCAGGAGCTGCTGTGACCTCCATCATAAGACAGAGCACCCACAGGGCTGCTCTAACTTCCACTCAGTTGTCTCCTGGCTCCAGCGGTTGTTCCAGCCGCCAGGGATTGCGAGAGCACATTAGCACTCTGATCACACCCTCTTCTCAGCAGCCATTCCTCTTCACCAGCTTTGCAGCCCCTTCGTGCCACTGGAGCAGTGCACAGGGACTGTCGTGTGCCCAAGCAAGTGGCCCTGCATGCTCAGAGGAACACATTTTTAACGATGACTTGAATAAAATTGCTAGTCTGGTTGAAAACATGGCTATTAAGTGAGGAATGAAGGGAAGATGTGCATCTCCCATGGGCACGTCAGCCCAGGACGTTTCCTACAGAGGCGTTAGCCGTGATTTACAAACTGAGACGGGAAAGATAAGGTTTCATGAAAAACGTTGCTGCTCTGCTGAGCTGTACCTGCCAGGGACATGCTGAGGCTACTGTTAATTAAAAACACAGAGCTGAATGATAGCCATGGCTCGACCTGCCCGAGGAACAAATGGCAGTTGATCATCAAGGATCATTCGTCCCATGCCCGCTGTGGATTCAATAGGGTACAACACCTGGTGATGGTCAGCCGCTGCCACCATTTTTAATTGGATTTGCCTTGCTTTATTTATGTATTTGCTAACGACTCCTGCTTTTGCCTCCCCGAGCAATCCCCGCCTTTGTGTGAGTGCAGGGGGGGAACCTAGGAATGCCGTAGTCGCAGGGACCTCCTGCAGCAGAGGCTGCAGTGACGTTGTCATGGCAACCGCTCCTGCAGCTGCCAACGTTGTCATGTAACTGAATGGGAAATGTCACTGCGGGGTGTGAGGGAACCTGCTTTCTGTGCTTGGCACACTGATATAGCTGCCGCTGCTTCTCTGGAATCCCAGCTCTGTCCGTACACGTCTGCAAACCCCGGCTGCATCGGTAAGTTCAACACCATCCCCAGCGCCGATAAATGAAAAGGAGCATTTAGAAAAAAAGTCTGGAGGCTCCCTGCCCCCTTATATGGCTGCTGCCCTGACTGAATCTTAGCTGGCTCTTGCATGTAGCTTCCTGTCCAGTTCAGCGAACTGGGATTTAACCATAGTAGGTGGGGGGGGCCTTGCCAGAGCTGCCCAGCTATGCTGCATGTCACAGGGTCTGCCACTGCCAACCTGACCAAAGGAACAAGGACATCCATCCCTACAACCCCACGTTCCCTGTCATTTCAGGAGGTCACTTAACGGCAGGTTGGAAACAGCTCCCACTGGAAGTGTTTACCCCCTGAAAACGTCTCATGCCATAGATCCAGTGTCTCTCCATTGGTCTCTAAGTCTCAACACAAACCCGCCCCAGCCTCTCTTCTCTCCCCTCCCCAGGGAGCAGCCAGCTCTAACTGCAGCTCCATCCATAAGCTGACTTGACTCGCCATACCGGGGCAGCTTCTAAATTCCTGCCAGATGGCCAATCTGTCATCAGTGTCCTCCTACCTGCCTCCTTTCCCTCCTTACTGGTGCTTCTGCCTAGCTCCCCAAAAGAGCACCCACTGTTGGTGGCACCCTAGGATCTGACCTTCAAGGGGCTGGGCCTAAATGCACAGTGATGCTTTGCATCAGCCGACCTTAATTTTCCCAGCTGAGAAAGAAGCCAAATATCTGTCTAAAGAGTGAGAAGATTGATAGGGGTTTGAGATCTCGCTTCCACATGAGTAACAGTTCAGAGATCTGTCGGTCTAAAGTGCTACAGAGGTGGCATTGGCAGAATGTGATTTGGATCTTTGGGAGAAGAAACAATGAGAGAGAAAGGAAGAGAGGGAAAGAGCTGAGCAAATCATTTACTCCCATCGATGAACTAAGCTTCTTTGGCCTTATGGAAGGTCCAGGGGCCGACCGCAATTCACTTGCATTTGTTGGGTATTCTATGATTCTTAATTCTATAGATTAATCGTGAAGAGCATTTGATACTTGGTGCTCAAAATCCAAGCTGTACTGGTTAGTGGTAATTGAGCAGCAAGTCACATTTCTGTTCCCTGCTGGGAGAAGCATAACTGTAGGGGGCGGATTTTATGAAGATCCTAAAGATCTGGATCTCTCAAGGAGAGGGAATGGTTTAAGAAGAGGTGCAAGATTAGTCTTTCTAAAGTTATCCTTCATGAAGAAGTTCAGAACCATTTCCATTCTGAGCCAGAGGCACCTCTCATAGAAAACCTAGGCTCCTGTAAGATTTACTGACTGGGTTTTGTTTAGTGTCCTATTGTCAAAGTCACACAATGTAATTGCATGTGCATGTGTGGTCCTAACTATGAAGGATGTGCCCAGATCTCTGTCTAGCTTGATCTTGACCTCTGTGCCAGGGCTCTGGCAAAGGGTTTTGGAAACCTCTCCCCCATGCTGTGGGAAGTAGTGTCCCATCACAGATAAAATAACCCATACTTTTCATGTGCAAGCTTAAAATTTATTTTCCACAAGCAAGTGACTCAATTCAATCACTTTCTCTGAAAAAGCCAGATCGCACAATAGATGTGTGCGTGTGGCTGAAACAGATTCTAATCAACGTTCGTAGAATATACCTGCAGGTGTTAGACCAGCTCTGAAAGTGGTGCCTGGTGAAAGAGAGGACATGAAAGAGACAGAACAGTGTCACAAAGGCATAGCTAGACAACCCTTAAGAAAAACAAAAAATGATTTGCCCGGAAGACAGATGTCCTGTCATAAAACTTAACAAGGAGAAAACAGTTTACCCAGAATGGACTTTGCCTGCTACCTTTCTAAAAATTATTATTGAGAAAAGAAAGCCCTGGATTTACCCTGATGTAACAGAAAGCGGAGTTTTGCCCTTTATCAGGAGGAGAATGAATATACATTGTAGACGCAAAGAAACCCTAGTTAGTTGGTTGGTCGAGGGATTATTTTGTTCATAGTCTAGGAGAAAGAATCTATTTATTTATTTATTTTTACCCCAGTAGGTCAAATTCTGACGCCCTTATTCACATGTAAGCATCAGATGCCTCCACCGGGGGCTGAAGGGGCGATTTCAATCTGCTGATTTCAAATAGGCCTATTAAAGGCCTCCTATATTATTTCTCCAGCTGGAAGGTACATTATGCAGAGCTGTTCTCTCCTCATATATTCACTTCATTCCTTCTGTAATTCATGCTACTTGGGAGCTGAAGCAAGAGCGATGGTTCTGACTAAACAACTGTCATGTCACGTGGTTACGTCGAGGTTGAAATGCCGTCCCTGTCGTTGCTTGTCATTTCATTGTTCTCCCAAAATTGGTATCCTCTTTGCCTGTTTCCTCATTTGTTAGTGGAAAAGAGTGGGGTAAGTGTTTCCGTGGACAGCTACGGTGCACACACATGCGCACACACAACCAACCATGCTTTGGAAAGTTCTCTCATGCTGTGGAACACAATGTTCTGGCAGAGCTAAACAATTATCTTAAATACACACTAAAAATAAAAACAAAGGTTATCAACAGTATTTTGACCTTGAAGCTTAGGGGGGGAAATATAAAAGGGAAGGTTGGTATCAGGTACATAATCATCTGGGGAAGTGTGTAACTCAGAAGAAGCAGGAGTAAGATGACTTGCACTGGGGTGGTGTCACAGACTGGTGAGAGGCTCATTAGGAGGTGGCTTTAAAGACCGAGGTCGAGCGGACATATGCCCCATTGGGGTGAAGCTAGTATGAGAAGGCATTGTGAAGTGTGAGCATTGGGGTACCTAATCACAGCTACAGCAATTCATTGTGAGGTCACAACAGGGGATAATGACATCAAAAGAAGAACAAGCCACAGGAAGCAGTTCCTTTGCCCTAAGTAATAAAGAGGATTTTTCATGCAAGCTGCCCTAACAATAATTTCTTAATAAATAAATACAAAATTAAATGTGATCAATATGCAGAAATGTCACCAATTAGACTGGGGTGTTTTGTCTGGAAGTTTCCCGGGACACAATGCAATTTTAAAATGCTGTCCTCTAGAGTAAAGCACATTGTATTCATGCACTACAGGTCAGATTGCTACAACCATGATGAAACTGAGTTTCACAGTTGGCTATTATCTGTGCATGACGCCTGGATCATTTTATTTTAAACCACTCTAAATATGATTGTAATACTGAGAGTACTCCCCCAAGACTCCCACCAAACCAGAACAAGTACAACGTGCTCGCTAATCAATTGGAAATTAACTTTAAAAAATGGGGTGGTCCACTACAGGAAAAATGGTTACAAAATGTTTTTGAAGGAAAGGTCATGAATATGTAGCTAACATTAAGAGAGAGAAACCCCACATGATCCATATTAGTCATGTGCCTTAAATGTGGTATGTAATCTATCCCTTAAATCAGCCCCTGTACCGGATGACTGGCAGATAGCTAATTTAATGCCAATATTTAAAAAAGGGTCCACAGGCAATCCTGGCAATTACAGGCCAGTAAAACTAACTTCAGCACCAGGCAAAGTGATTGAAACTATAGTAAAGAACTGAATTATAAAAACACACAGATTAACATGATACATTGGGGAAGAGCTAACACAGCTTCTGCAAAGGAAATCATGCCTCATCAAACTATTAGAATTCTTTGAGGGTGTCAACAAGCATGTGGACAGGGGTGATTCAGTTGATATAATGCACTTGGGCTTTCAGAAAGCCTTTGACAAGGTCCCACACCAAAAGGGATAAGAGGGAAGGTCCTTTTATGGATCAGTAGCTGGTTAAAAGCTAGGAAAAAAGGGTCAGAATAAATGGTCAGTTTTCACAGTGGAGAGAGGTAAATAGTGGGATTCCCCCAAGGATCTGTGCTGGGACCTGTGCTGTTCAACATATTCTTAAATGATTTGGAAAAGGGGGTGAACAGTGAGGAGGCAAAGTTTGCAGACGATACAAAATTACTCAAGATAGTCCAAAGCTGGCTGCAAAGAGTTGCAAAGGGATCTCACAAAACTGGATGACTGGGCAGATGAAATTCAATGTTGATAAATGCAAAATAATGCACACTGGAAAACAATCCCAATTATACACACAAAAAGTTGGGGTCTAAATTAGCTGTTACCACTCAAGAGAGAGATCTCGGAGTCATTGTGGATAACATCCACTCAATGTGCACCAGCAGTCAAAAAAGCGAACAGAATCTTATGTACCATTAGGAAAGGGATAGATAAGACAGAAAATATCAGAATGCCACTCTATAAATCCATGATACGCCCACACCTTGAATACTGTGTGCAGTTCTGGTTGCTGCATCTCAAAAAAGATATATTAGAATGGGAAAAGGTACAGAAAAGGGCAACAAAAATGATTAGGAGTAAGGAACAGCTTCCATATGAGGAAAAATTAAAAAGACTGGGACTGTTCAGCTTAGAAAAGTGACAACTGAGGGAGGATACGATAGAGGTCTATAAAATCATGAATGGTGTGAAGAAAGTGAATAAGAATGTGTTATTTACCCCTTCACGTAACACACAAACCAGGGACCACCCAATGAAATTAATAAGCAGCAGGTTTAAAACTAAACAAGGAAGTACTATTTCACACAACGCTCAGTCAACCTGTGGAACTCATTGCCAGGTGATGTTGTGAAGGCCAAATGTATAACTGTGTTCAAAAAAGAATTAGATAAATTCATGGAGGATGGGCCCATCAATGGCTATTAGCCAAGATGGTCAGGAACGCAACCCCATACTCTGTCTACACTTACCTCCGAAGTGATCAATCCAGCGGGGGTCGATTTATCGACGTGATAAATCGACCGCCGAGCACTCTCCCGTCAACTCCGGTACTCCACCAGAGCAAGAAGCATAGGTGGAGTCGACAGGGGAGCAGTGAAGACAACGCGATGAGTAGATCTAAGTACGTTGACTTCAGCTACATTATTCACGTAGCTGAAGTTGCGTAACTTAGATCGATTACCTGCCCCCCGCCTCCCCACAGTGTAGACCAGG